TTCTCAGAAGTCGTCAGGAAATGTGCCGGAAAGATGAGTACGGAACCCCAGGCAAAATGGCATTTGACTGCGGCGCGGCACGCAACCGCCGCGCGCCTTCGATCGGCCGATCCTTACGAAATACGGAGATACCCTAAGATTGTGTGCATTGCCATGTACCGCACGCAATGGCTGCCATTTTGAAGGTTCCATTATTTCTTTGAACGTTGAGCCGTAACTCAAGATCCGTAAAACGGTTTGTTAGGCTTATGTCTGGTTGTTCTCGTCAGCCCGAGAAGAGGAACAAATGAGAAGTACTCTTTCAAACGTTTTCATCGCTTGCAATAAAAGAAAAGTAATAAATTTGAGTGTTGACTTAGTTAGAAGCCTATAAAAGGCAGCTTACCTTACGATGTTGAGGAAGTCGACCAGGACCACCGAATAGGTACACGTCATTGAATAATGAGGCCTTAGAGAGGTTTATAGGCAGGGGTATAGGTCAAAACCCGCATAAATCCAGGAACGGCTCGAGTTTTGTTACGGCATTGCATTCCTGCTCACAGGCTTTTAGTGTCTTGCGCGCTGCTACCTCAGCTTCTCGCAATAGAATTGAAACCAAGATTTGAAATTCATTACTAGTTTGATGTCTCAGCCTACGATGAACGCCTGGGGCGTACATACTTGTTTTCCGTCAACCGTCTAGATGTTCCCTTATTCGTGAACATAGCGGCCTCACTTCATCAATATATTCATCCCCACATAAAACATTATATGTGACCCCAAAACACATGAAGTCCCTCGGTTTATTTGATTAGCAAATCATACAGTCCACTTTTTCACAAACTTGGTCATATGCCCGATTGCGCACCAGACGTTGCCTATGGTTTGCAGGAGTAAACAAATCTTAAATAGTATTGAAGACCTGATTTATTCCTCACGCCCTGATCTCGCTGCTTAACTCATCAATAAAGAACAAAATGGCACCTCGTTATCACTAACATTACTAGGTTTGTTTGTAAGCAGTTTTCCTCCCGCTATGAGTTTGTAGCTATTCGCAGCTGCTATGTTGAGAGACTTTTGAGTTGATATCAGCTTCAACCGTCAGAAGATACCGCTTTAGCTGTGTGAAGCATGTTTCCAAGCTACGCTTTATATGTATAGGGTGGGCGGAGGAGTAGTGCACTAAAATATCTTTGTTGCTAGTTTCCTGTATCGCCTTTTGCGGTCTTCTTTACTTAGGCATACCTGGACGTAAGGAATGGGAGCCAATTGTCTCTTGGTTTTCCTCTAGTGTACTTTCAGCTGATTGTC